CGATGCGGTGAGCGATGTCAGACAGCTCCTTCTTCTGCTCCAGGGTTAGCGCTGGATATTGGTAGGGCATGGTGCTGGTGGTAGCAAGTTCCTGGGTACAGGAAACAGAGGGAGAGGAGTGGTTAGCTGGGCCTTCTCATGATCTCCCAATGAGCAGGGCCCCTCGCCTGGAGGTCAGGGCAAATGTTCCCTACCTCCCCTGCCCCACACCCAGTAGGCCCTGGGGGCACTTCTGGTCCCCAGCTCTCCCGTACGCCCGACTTCCCTATGCTAGGCCTGCCCCTGTACCTTTCCTAACTCTGTCTGGTGCTGGGTGTTGCCCAGCTGAGGGTGGAGTTGCCCACTGGCAACTGGGGGAAAGGAAAAGGCCATAGCCATGGACAGGTGGGTCATGTTGAAGCTGGACCCTTCTGGCTTGCGCCTTGCCATGGGGTTACCTTGCCTGAAAACAAAATCGAACCGGAGTATTTTAGAATGTAAAGGTCGTGAATCGAGCAGAGGGCCCAACACCCTTGTAGGAAAGGGCCCAGATAAGGAAAAGGTCTGTGCTTCAAGCCACACAGCAACCCCGGAGCCAGATCTGAGATTAACCCAGCTCTTCTGACTGCGACTGGGGCGTTCCTTCCAATCCACCCAAGATCCCAGGCTGGCGGGCTCCAACCCTTCAAGGACATCCCAAGGTCAGGGTTTTCCCCACAAAGGAGGGGACGGGTAGTAGGAAAGGAGTATTAGGAGAAAGGTAAGAGAGCAAGGAGAAGCCCAGGCAAGGGCCCAACAAGTCCTAGCCTGAGGCGAGGAGAGGAAAGCGGTAAGGTTTGCCGTGGTCACTTCCCACGGGGCAGAGGGGCAAGCACCCCATCCCTTTCCAAGAAAAATGCTCCTGTCGCTTCGCAAGGCCGTAGCTGGTTCCGGGCTCAGAATCAAGGTCGCCCAATAAGGAAAGACGAAAAGTGTTAACGGGGCATCAAGCGCCACCGAGGGGTTTCCCGTCCTCGCGAGGGGCGCCCAGTTCCGCAGGGCAGGAACCAACCTCCCGCTTGCGAAAACCCTGGGGGTGTACACGGGCCGGCCCTCACCCCTCACTGCCTCTTAGGATCCCCGCCGAGACTAAGAGGCCCTAATCCTTTGCCACAGGGGTCCCTGCAAGAAAAGGGGAGGCGAATGGTCCTCCATCTCGTCTGTCTTCCTCCTCCGCCATGACTCAGCGTGTGCAGCGGCTGCATTGCGCAGTTAAGTGACCTCAGGGTGGAGGGACCAGGGAGCCTGTGTGTGGCCGGTAGTGGGGAGACGCTGGCATGGGGTGAGAGGGGGGCTCCACGCGGACGCCCAACCCGCCACTGCCCTCAAGATCCTTCTCCACGGTCCCTGGTCCCCGCACGTGAAGAGGGGCGCTCACCTGGTACAGGAGAGGGGCGAGTGTGCGGGATCTGGCGGCGGAGGACGGCGGGCTGGCGAGTGGACTCAAGGAGCGAACGCGGCACTCGTCACCA